ACGTACGTACGTACGTACGTACGTACGTACATACACACATCATCAAAAAAATTGGCTAGCATGCTACTAATATGTTAAAACGTGGAAATATAATGAAAATTCCGATTTCACTTTTCGACCCAATTACAATAACTTCCTAATGGGAAGTTAATAAAATTGAAAATAAAACTAATTTAAGATACTTAAATCTTCTAAATAATATTTTTGGCTGTTTGCTTTTTTATAAAACTTCCTTTATTGTGCACCTTACAAAAATATTTTAAATGCAACTTTTATTAAAAGCTGCGATTTTAAATTTTAAATTAAATAGTTCAAACAGTGTGCGCCCGCCACGCCTACATCGGCATTTTTCAAAGATGAACCCATAGATAATAGATACACAAAGGGTACCATAAACTATTACACAAATCCAGTAGGTTTAAATGCTGACGTTAGATCTGCTGGCATAGATTAAAGAAATATAATACTGTCAATCTACCGATCACTTGGTTACCACCCCGAGATATTGCTCAAAAATAATTATAATTATAAGAGAATGGTAGCCGATTTTAACGCTTGGTAGTCAACAGTTAATTATTAAATCAATGAATTTCGGCATGTTAGCCGACAAGATTTTTCACAGAAATAAATACAGATACAGATCGATAGGGATAGGTTGTCCCGAATATATTAATTTTATCGTTTGGTGGTAAATATTTAATTAGTAATAGCAAAAACAAAATAGTATATACGAATCGCATACACTTATTTTTATCCACTTAAATCATAGATAATACTTAAATACAGTCGTATACATAGACATATACTAATGGACACGCCTTAGCGGTCACAATTGTGGTACAACAAAAGAAAGAGATGGAAAGAAGTTTCGGACAATATCCATTTCTCTCACGATAGTGCGTAAGCGTATAATGAAAGAGATAGCACTAGTCCGAAACCATACGCCATCTCCCTCACTCTTTTCCAGCCAAGAAATTATTACGACATACGGCTAAGGCACGTCCATTATTATATGTCTATGGTCGTATACATAAACATGACAAATACATAACGGACATAAACCATAGAGTTTATGGAACCGGCTGCTAATCGCTATTGATATTTTCTATAACCTACCAAGTGAAATATTGTTGGAAAACTCTCGACGAGAGAAGAAAGAATATGGCGTTATTGATGGATTTCATTGAAATTTCTGGAAGTTTCCAGTGTGATAAGCTTCAACTAGATGGCGTCGTGTTTCGATTTTCTGATTCCAAACAGCGTCCATTTGGGGCTTGTACTTGGAAAATATGTGTTATTTAGGAAGCTGACACGAAAAAGAAAACAATATCACCCAAACCTCTGCCGCATGGTATATCAGCTTTTTAATGACATACAGGCGGAATTGGGGCCATTTTGAGATAAGCGGGAAGGAAGGAAAATTGAAGAAAATGTCGGCCTAACCGCTTGGTTTTGCCGATATATTGTACATAAAATACTTCACATTCCGGGAAAAAGACTAGAAAAAAAATTAATGGGTCATTATCCTATGCGTAAATAAAAAAAGGGAAGCTTAACCGGAATGGAATCAATTTATTGAGAAAAGGTCTTTAAATTCTGATTTTAATTTGAAATTAGTTCACTGGGTTTCATCTTTTATAAAAGTCGCCTCGCCACGAGCCAACAGTACACAATCGACAATCGTGCTGACAAGACATACCTTCCGACTAGAGATTTTCTTTAGCAACTCATGTCTAGTAGCTACTGCAACCGGCAGTTATCACTGCCTGCTTAGCGACGCCGCATTAAACCAGATGGTTTAAACCTCAAGGATATTCCAAAGGTTTTCAACAACTGCTCAGCTGTTTTTAGGTACGATAAAAACTTTTACTTAATTTAACTAACCAATGATCTTGAGGACTAAGACGCAACGTCCCCTTGTACTTCTACGTTCCCATGTTCAACGGTGAGAAAGTGTGGCAACTAGTGTTCGTTCTTTTGAACAAATCTGACCCTAAGTCGAACTTGGCAAAATTTGCGGGCTCAATGTCAATGTTGAACCAAAAAGAGCTAACAAAGACGTCCCCCAATATCGCCGTTGCCTAAAATTTTTTAGCACGGTTAATTACTACCGCTCAGTTTGGGTCTGTTCCTTCTGAGGCCGCAATCATGTTTCATGGCTGAAAAGACAGGGGGGGAACGATTGCAAGCCCGAAGGCGTTAACAAAATGGAGGATAACAACAAAAAACACCCACATGACACAAGAGGGGGACGGGGCCGACCAATCAGAGAACAAAATCTAACGAGCGGAAGTGCCGTAAGAAAAGCATTGGGAGATAAGGAGATTTGCCCCTAGATATCCTACTAACGACGTCACTCCTTTCTGTACTTACTGTAAAGGAAATCACCATGCTACCTATCGCGGCTGCCCTAAAACATCACTCCGGCGGCTCCAAAGAGTGCCCAATGAACTGCCCATTGTACGACGTTCCCCCAAAAGTCTTACGCTAGGGCTGTGAGAGCAATCCCTCCTCCATCTCATTGCCCACATCGAAACATTTGGCATCGAAGTTTCACTAACATCCGGCCCTCAGGATCATTTCTCTATACTCGGAACACCCCCTTCGGAACACCCCTTCGCCCACCCCCAGACTTTTAGACTGTCGTCACAAGCAATTTCAACGCATGACGCTTCATGGGGCTGCCGACAAACCAACAAAAAGGTATCTCCCTTCTTGCCAAAGTTCTTAACTCAACCTCACAATCGAAGCACCTCCCTAACCCCATTTTCCTCTCTGCCCACCTCAACTTGATATCCTCGACATTTTCGTTGCAAAAAGTGTCACGCTTTCCGTTGATCCTATCGTTTTCGACGCTTTTAACTAGGACCACCTTCCAGCCCTGATTGAAGTCAGCCGCCCAATCAATAACCTCCTCAAACCCAACCACTTCACCAGACTGATTACACCTCCGTTACATTTTCAAAACTTATTCTTCAAGTGCACTTCAATTCGCACAATAGCGGAAATCGACGAAACTGTGAAACGCCTTTCAAACGAGATTACCAGTGCTTTCGAATTCTCCGTGACCTCCCGCCCCACGTCTGCCCCAGGCAAAAACCTTCCCGCAGATGGTTTTGCCCTCCTTAAGAGGAAACAAAATTCGTTGTCTGTGACAAAGACACCGTACTCCCGCACATCGTACTGAGCTTAACGCCCTCCAGCTAGAACTTGCCTCGCCTCACAGAATTCCGTAGCGCCTCTTTCGACGAATACATCGCCCAGGCAGAAACACAACCCAAAAGCACTTGGAAAGTGATTCGCTCTCTCCGAAACAGAGCCCTACACCTCCCTCCATTACAGCAAAATGACTCCCTGTACACTTCAGATGAGGAATAAGCTGCAATCGTCGCAGACTGTGTCTGCTTCCAGTGCTCTCCGCTGTATCTTGCAGAATTTCACGAGCGAACAAAATATCACAAACGCTCCCTTTGCTCTGGAAAGAAGCCACATTTATTTGTCTCCCCAAAAAAAGAAGCCCCTCCGCAATCCCTCAAGTTACAGGCCCATTAGTCTACTTAGTTCGATAAGCAAAGTAGTAGAATCAATCCTTCTAGATCGGCTTCTCTTCTTGACCACGTGGAGTACCTATTTCCAACACGACTTTCGTAAACAGCACGATACCGGCCATCAACCCCTTCGTGCTGCTAAACACATTTATGACAACCTCAACAAGCGCCTTCACATGTCCATGCTTCTGCTTGACATTTCCAAGCTTATTGCCCTCAAAACCCTACGCTTCCTTATCGGGGTTATTACATTCTTTCTTTCTGGCAGAATCCTCCCTGTCCGCGTTAGCTCTACTTAATCCCCCAGTAAACCCGCAACGACCGGCGTCCCCCACGGCTGCAAGCTGTCACTCCTTCTATTTAACCTCTTCTGTACAGACTTGCCGTCCCACCCTTCAATTCTTACTGCCCTTTACGTCAATGATATTGCCCTTATAAATTCCACCAAAACAATCCTATGGAGCTACGCAAATATTAACGAATTTCTGCCCCTGCTCCTCAACTGGTATCGAAAATAAAGACTTGCCATTAACGAGGCCAAGTTGGAAGCTATTTTCGTCTCCCACAGGATCAGAAATCCTCCCACCATCACCTTTAACAACCACACCATCGAATGAAGCAACTCCGTCACTTACCTCGGCGTCATCTTTGACAGAACATTGACATGGCGAAAACACATCCTTGCCACCCCGTGTCAAGGCCCTAGGTGCCTTATGAGCTCCATCTCACATCAAACAAAACGTGCGTTCAACGCATTTGTCGGAAGTATTTGCTTTTACGCAATTCCCATCTGATACCGATTTTCGTCTACACCATTCCTCCCCAATAACACTCCGCATCCTCACTCATCCCCCTCCCCTTTCCCAACCTTCCCAATGAACCTTCCCTTGGATGTACAACCTTGACTGGTTGATCTCCCTACTCGAGGAGGAGTTTTAGTTGGTAGGTGCTTCGGCGAATCCGACACTACCCCCTTTCAGTTGGTGACTATTGAAGATTTCCTCTCTAGGAAAAACTAAATAAAAGAAAAAGTGCCAACATCTCTGTTTGTCGAAGGGCGTATCCACTCCTCTATATAGTAATCATTCAAATTCATGCACAAGACACCACTCTGCACTCAACCTTCGTTATAGGAATCACGTACTAGACACCGATTTCTATCACCGAAACGACCAGAGCATTTTCCACAGCAACTGGAAAAATTTATTATCTAAGGTCAACAATATATTCTACACAGCCGTAATACGTAAGAGTTTTTATTCTATTTTTAACTAACCAACAGTTCTCTTGGACGGAGTACGCAATGTCCCTTTAAACTTCTATTTACCAAAACTAACACATAAATAAACCTTCATAACTAATTTAAAAAAAAATTCTATTGTTCTTAAACCTTTCTTCCCGATTCTGCAAAGTCACAAAAAAGTCTAGTTCTACCTAGCTAGCCATTTTCAGCATGGTTACCTCCAAGAGCTCCTTCACTCTTGGAGGGATTTTCCTTGCGGACGCCATTGCCCTGGCGAGTGACCTTCAGGCCAAATTCGTCGACGTAAACGAATTTATTCGTTTATATTCATTCCTACAATCGCCTACGCCCATGACTGAAGACATTGAGTTTTCATCCGCTGCTCCCCCTTAGCGACGACATTTCCACCCAAATCGATTCAATGTCAATTTTCGACAGCTCCGTTAACCGTCTCTCGCACACGGACCGACGAGAGAATGACGATTTCGTCAAAGCCGGCAAACGCGTTAACAAACGCCGACGACAGCAACCTTTCCTGTCGTCGTCCGAATCCTCCTCCACTGACAACCAATTGGACTTAGAACCATCCAATCTAAGTGAAAAATCTCCCACCCCCCAATCGTCATACGCTAAAAGTTCCTTTGGCCGAAAATTCTTCGTGCTATGGAAAGTCACGGCATTTCCGCACGTAGGGCAATTAATATTCAGGACTCAATTCGAGTCTACCCCAACTTTTTTCTACGATTTTCGTCGTCTATCCTCTTTCCTGGGTGAATCCAAAGTCCAATTCTCTACAAACCAGCTCCAGCAAGACCGTGACCTTAATGTCCTTATCCGTGGTGTCTGCGAACGTCTCAACGGAGGACATCGAGTCCGAACTCAGCCACACAGCTCAAAAAATTTGGCCCCTTGTCTCCGTCCGTCTTGATAAGACCGCTTCGAATTCCAAGACAATTTTCAATCTTGGTAAATTCTATGGTCTCAACATCAAAATTGGGACAAAAAAAAGCTAAGAAGGAAGTTCCCCAATGCCGCCGCTGTTTGAAATTCTTTCATACAGCCAACTACTGCCACGCATACGGGGGAATGGATTGTAAATCGGAGAAATTTACACTTTTGGGACTAATAAAATCCTCATATTGTTAGGGAGTCAAAAATCCAGGATATATTTAGTTTTAATGTGTTTGCTTTAATACTGCATAATAGTGATATTTAAAATGTACGATCGCACATTAAATTCGGAGAGGTATGTAGGAATACTAAGACGGGCTGTTTCTCCTTGCCAATTGACAGTGTACCAAATCTTTAAGTAATGACTTAATTAAGTTGCTGCAATATCCAAGTAAAAAGTGCATATAGCGTACATGTTTATGTTTGTACTCTATACTGAGTGTACCCACATAGCAGGTATGTATTTGTTGAAATGTTCAAGGGATTTAACTACACCTGATAGTTCTATTTAGTTTACCTTCTTCCACTTGGAACAACACACCACCACATTACACCAGCATCAACGTTAAAGGGCTCACTAAACAGTAGGTACATCAAGATTGTTGTTGAGTCGCAATATTCATCTTATTATTTGTATATTTTTCAACATTTATCTTTATATTTCTAGTTGAATGGTGATTTTATTAATATTGCAGTATTTTCATTTTACAGCAGTAAGTTTAGGAATTTGTAGTTTGCCGACCATCAAAGTTCAAAAGGTTTTATTGACCATTGTGTCGAGTTCTAGTATAATATTCAGTACTTCTATTCGAACACGTATTTACCCCAATAAAGTTCAATTGGTTTTTCGTTTGGGTTATGTTTCTGAGAAGTCGAGGCAAACGGCAAATTTTCGAGGACGCGTTGCACGCGTGTTGGTACCACAAGTACCGGTTAATGCCCTTCTGGTACTCCCACTATCTTTCTACCCCTCTGTATCTTTGTCTCCCTTTCATAACAAATCAACCTTTTCAATTGAATTTAATTCCACCCCCAAACTATTTCCCCCACTTTTCTATTTTTCTAATTTTCAATCGTTCAGTCATTTTCAGGCAGTTGCAATTTGGTCTTTAGTCTAATCAATCTTTTGCTCTTTCGGTTCGTGTTCTATTTTCATTCATTTTCAATTTTATATTGTCCACTCTGCATAAGTTAAGTTTTTTGTTATCAACTTGTTTTGTTAAAGCGTTTGTTTATTGTTAGTTAAATCTTGTAAATAAATAGTTAAAAAACACGTGGTGTTTTATATCAACAATTACATTTGCGTAATTCTAAAAAGTGGCCCATACAAGAAAGCCGTCAAACTACGGTAACAATAATTGTAATCTTTAAATTTTCAGATGCTTTTGGCATTATGACGTCCGTTCGAATGAAAGTTTGTCTTCTGTAAGTTTATGTTGTGGCTGGACTATATCGTCTGTCGTTAGTTGTAAATTGGTCACTTCGGGGTACAACGGATCGAAATGCTGTGTATTTTATTATGAGAAATACTGAGGATGGTTACCAAATTTGGATATTCTTTGTAATTAATTTAAATACCACATACAAAACTTTTAAATAAACCAATAAATAATAACAATTTTTTTTCCTTATATTGACTGAAAGGTGATCACTCTGTCTCTTTGGTGATACGACTGTGTCTAACAATTCCACGAATCCTTTATGATTTATTTATTCGCTGTAATTGATGTGGTAGTCATAGATTACTGGATATAGTACATTTAATTTATAAAACTTGTAATTTGTCAAATTATTTACAAATGTTACCAATAAATAGAAATCGCGATGACGTTTCAAAATCATTATAGGTTACAGTAAATAATATGCTTCCCGATACCTAATATTGCGCAATTAATACTGCATTAAAAAGCATGCAAAGATGTTTTCAAAGAAAAACGGACAGGAAAAAGACTACCATGGGTAATACAACTTTGATTGATTTATTATATCGTTTACTAATTTTATTTGCAGTCATATTGAGAATGAAGTAAATAAAAACCCGAGGTTGTTCCAAAAATACCGCAATTACATTAAAAAGTATGGCTATTTCATTGTTCCAATCCACTTTTTGACGTCTGCATTATGGTTGTTTTTAATACATACTATGATTAATAGGTAAAGGAGTATTATAATAATGAGGATGGACACATGAGATATATTTAATACCAGCTGCTATCTACATATAGATAGTGGAGCTGCAGTTCCGAAAAAAGACCCTCCGATTGGCTTCAATTTTCCTCATACTCTGTTATGTATAGATGATACCTAAAAGGATTTTTGGCAATTCGAACCGGGAAGAATATGTGAAAAAAATTAATCACAAGTGTAACCTTGCAAGGGGGTAACGGGTGCCAGATGAATGCTTAGGTTTAGAACTCCGCAATGATGATGGTCGTACCTGCCGAAAACTTCCCGTTCAAGAGAAAGCCACCTATTTCGGTAAATCACACCTATATCTATATATGTAAACAAACAGAAGGACTACCGTACCTAATCTTACGATCCTAAGCAATCAAACAAAAAGCATTCTTCAGTTTATTTTATATATTTCATATTAATTTTGTTTCATTTTTGATAACTGCGCCACTATCGTCAAACACTTTTTGGGTTGTGTAACGTCTTCACTATACCCTTTGCTCTTTTTGAGCGACGATCCACTTGTTTAGAGATTTACCCATATATATAATACTCCTATATTGCTAGTAGAGGTTTACAAAATGATGCCGACCCAATGTCTCTTCGTAACTACTTACACGATACACGTATGCTCGACAATTGAACATGCCTATAAGCGCGTATTATTTACCCCACCAGACTCGTGACGATTACGCACAACGGGTCGAGTAATCTAAAAAGAGACAGAAGTAGTCGTTTGTTGTCTCACTTACTCCGTGACACTTCACGTAGGGGAACTAGCAATATAGGAGTATTATATATATGTATATGGATTTACCTAACTTTTAAACTATTTCATCCAATTAAAGTCGCTAAAAATCCTTTCAGGTTTCACCATGACAGAGTGTGTAATTAAAGATTAAAATCAGTCGGAGGGTGCCTCTTGTCGGCACTATACCCAGTTTTTTACCTTTTGATAGCATTCTCTTTTTCAAATTCATTTTTCTTCAAATTTAACTAATTTAAACAATGGTAAGCACAGTATATCAATATTGTCTTTGTAATTTGTACATATTACTATGACACCTTAGCGGTTACGTTAGGTAGTGCCCATCTCTATTATCAAAATTTATTAAAATTTAACCCATTCACACGTGTTAGCTAGAAACTAATTAACAACGAGTAGACAGAAATAGAGCGAATTCGCTCTGTAATATGATATATGTATCTTTATATTTTCGTAATTTTTTTTCTTATTGTAATTTTTCGTTACCTTTATTATTATTTTTCCCTGCATGTTTTACAAGTAGATTTGATAATAACTAGTATTGCTTACTCTAACAAACATATTGATCATAATGAAGTATACTACATAGATAGGGCCGTCGTGTAGGCTAGTCGCTTATTTGCAAATAAAAAAAAATTGCGCCCTTTTCTATAGCATACAAGATATATAAACACAGTATATAAGCGAATCCAAAATATATTAATTTAGTTAAGAACATTGCTTAACACAACATNTGTGGCGATTTTATAATTTTTTATAGAAACAATTATTATTTTTTAAAGTGAAGTGTTGAGTGTATGTTTGTATATTTGTTGATGTCTGTGAAAACTGTATTTGTGTGTTTGGAATTTTTGTAAATATCTTTGTGTATTGTTATCATTGTAAATTTCATTGTGTGTTATATTATTGTTGTGTAAATATTCTTCCCTTATAATTCTATTTCTATACTTACTATTTACCTGCTCGCTTTAACGACTATTTAATTGCCTTCGTACTTTCCTATAATCTCTTAATAACATTTCAACCCTTGTATACTAACTGCATGACATCTATAATCCTTACTTTTCCTAATTGCTATTTTATGATGGGTCTCTTCGGTTATTTCAGTTCAAACTTAACTTCTTGGTATTTCTTCTAATCGTCATTTCCAGATTTCACTAGCAACTTATTGGTTCCCTACTTTAATCACTTATTTCTAACTCCTCCTTATCACCCTTTCTACAATCTCTTTTCGAAAACTAAAATCAGTTCTGACCTGTGCTTCCTAACTTCAACTTCTACTTCTACATTTCTAGTCTTCATTTCATTTTCTGTAAAATTAAATACTTTACCGTTTTCACGTGTTATTAATTAAATCATCCACCTATCATCTGAACACATCGAGTCCAAATTGTAAATTTCGAACTCCACAAATATTTTCCTTTTAAATCTAGTAATTGGATTTCAAATGAACTAGGATTGATATTAAATGGAGTAAAATTTAGTTTTTTGCTATTTTCTTTGACAGGATTCGCAATGAAAGCCAAGGTAGGCTTATTAATTTAGAGATGATCAAGTCGTTCAGCAAAGTCATCTTTCACTGTTTTGATCGTAACCATCAGTGTCAATAGAAGCATTGTTTTCATCCCGATAATTCCTTAATGTTTTTCTTCTTCTTCTGCCAAAAGAAGCAATTTTATTTTCAAAGTCAACTACTTCTTCTAGACCGTTCGGAATTACCTTTAATTTTTTTTTTTGAGGAAATTGAGGAGTTGAATTATCTTTTGAAAAAGCCGCACGCAATTTGCCGACTCCTGTCGTAGTGTGTCTAAATAAGCTTTCAAAACAACCATTAATGCGTATCAAGTCTTGGGCAAGATATGTCACGAATTCGAAATCACCTTCAGCAAGTCAGGTCAAAAGCAGATTTCATATCTATGGAACTGAAAATTGTACCAGGAGGAATATTCGTCACCCAACCGCGATGAATCTCGCGAAATCCAACCATCTATCAAACAAGGAATTATCACTCTGAAGAAGTGCTATGTGAATGATGAAGCTGCTGCAGTCAGATTGAACAACATTTTTGCGTCGGCTTCAAAAGAAGAAAGTTTTAGTATTGAATGGGTAAACGTTTTAATTGTACGCACAAGATACTACTAGGCCGCAAATTAAAACAATGAGAACGGGAATAGGCAACATACAATGCGTTCCGCAGCTTTGCTTGAAAAATGTGATCAAACAGAAATGTCAAATAAAGGGATTACTTGAGAAATGTCAACATGTGTTTGAATTGGCAAACGGCTAAAAGGGACGGACCAACGTCGTCGTTCACAAGATATTCACGGGGCAGCGCAAACCACCTAGCAGAGACCGAGGAGACCACCACTGACCAAGAACCAACCATTCCATGCATGTCGCCAGTAGTTTTGGTTAAGAAAGATAGGTACACATATTTTAGCGAGAATTGACGCCAGTTGAATAACGTGACGAAGAAGGAGAAACATCTCTTACCGCGAATAGGCGAAATCTTGGACCCACTTGTTTGTTCAATGAAATATTCTTAACCTTAGACCTCAATAGTGGATACAATAAGTGCATTTGAATCCTGAAATCGAAGAAAAGGCAACATTCTTCGATGAAACAGGACCGTGGGGGTTTAGAGTGATGCCGTTCGGTCTAAACAAGCAAACGAAGTGTGTTTCTACAAATATTTGCATGAGAGAAATTTATTGCTTCGGATTAAGCATACCACTCTGAAGTTGTTGCTAAATTTCAAGAATCCTGAAAGTAAAGTAGCACAATGGATAGAAAGGTTCCAAAAATGCAATTATGACTTAGGAAGCCTGTAGTAAAGATAATTATATTTCGAATGAGTTTTCAGCAATTTTGAGGGTTCCACAAGGCTTTCACCGTGATTCACTGCTTTCCAATAAGTTTCCCAGTTGCTTAACAAATGTCCATGTTTGCAAAGTTTAATATGCTGATGATTTAAAGAGTTTACTGTGTAAAGACTCCTGCTGATTCATTTACGTTACCACCTGACATTGATAGCATTTCAGGTTGATATAGAGGTTGAAGAGGTCACTATTGAATGCCGCTTTACTTTACCTTTCAACCTTCATGTTTAATTTAATTTAATATTATTTATTAAGACAGCGTCCAAACTTTTTTGTTATATTTTACGTCAATCCAATTGTATAAGAAAGAATCCTTACGTTCATTAGTTTATATGACGCCTTAGTTAAGTCGATTTTGAACTATGCCACATGGGCCCTGGTCCGGCGCGCTAGGCATGGATTACGACAGAGTCAGTCTGCCTTTGCGTGAGAAATCAGTAACATAACAGGGGGAGGCGGTTGGCTCGGACTACTCTAAACGACCCTAATGCCGACCCCAAAATTTGCAGATGTACTCGTAGATGCCGAATCATTTTTTTAAAATACTTAAGTTATAACTTAATTAAAGCCTACAATTTTGATAGTTACGTTTAAAAAACCTGATCATAATTTTCTGAGTACAAATTTAAGTACTAGTGCAATGTACAATTTAACTTCTAATTTGTTACAATTCTTATTATTTAGCATCTCATTTCGCAGGTTTCCAACGATTCAAATTAAATGAATATTATAATGTTCGTGGGTTTAACAAATTAAATTTTAAGAAGAAAGCTATTTATTTACACTAATTACTATTAAACTTAAAAACACTATTAAATTATTACTACTTCGGTAATTATTCTATTTATTTACACTACTGTTACTATTCACTGTTCTATTTATTTCACTTCTATCACCGTCTATTTATTTCTTGATTCACTTCTGCAACGGTCAATTTATTTCTGCTCTCCTTCGGCGATTGTCTCTTCCTTTTTATACTCCCTTGCCTCCTTTCGGGAACATTTCTCGTCTCGTTTTCTTTGAACGGTTTAATTTCTTTCCCGGAACGCAGGTACGACACACACGTTTACAGATACGGCGCACATGAAGAAAAGCACCCGCTACTGTTTTTAAAGTGAAACTTTTATTACATCGCCTCAAATTTTTTCGTCCATCTATCGCATATCGCATTACAGCCGGCCGGAAAGTAGGGGTAAAACTAAAATGTGCTCGGCAGAGTAGCAAAGGCCAATATGTTGGCGCCCATGGCTCGCATGAACTAACCGTGTAGCATTTATATTCTCACTCATTCGTGCAAGTGCATGACAATTACATTTATAGACTGTAAAACTCAAAGCGAAAATAAAATTATTGATAGAATAATGATTGAAAAATGATTCAATGATTTAAATAAATATTGCGTCTATCATCTGAATGATTGTATTTATTATGTATTTCATACTCTCATACGTAGATTGAAATTAAAATTTGTAGTTGGATATCTTGTCTACTATTGATTTCCCATTATCATTCCCATTTTCCAATTATTAAGATAAGATTAAGAACGCGATTTTAATTTTAATACCCTAAATCGAATAATTTTCCGAAAATTTACAGTTAAATGCCTACAATCCGAAAAGTTTCACTTGCACTGTGATTTCATAAAAGCACACAATTGTTTTTTTTCTTGCACTTATACTGTGTGAGAAAGCAAATATCTTGGCACACACCATATGAATTGCCGCTTCATATATAAATACAATCGTACATGAAGATGGGGGGAATAAAAACGTCACCTAGGAGTGCAATGACTCAACATAAATTCTCCATTAGGTACCTCTTTTCTTCACGACGAATTTGTGAAAACAATTACCATGGAAATTGTTTTAAACGAATTTTCTAAAAAACCTAAAAACAAACTCGTTTAAGTATTTTTTTCTACTTTATTCAAAGTGCTTAATATGCAGTGCCCGCTTCAGCGACTGGCAACCTAGACATTTACGTGGGCGCTAAAATTTGGGATTTGATTTTTGATTTTAAGTCTATTTCTCGTACCAGATAAAATTGTTTTTGAATAGGTATTTACTCGTTTGCATGTGTATGATTCACTACTTGGAATATTTGAAATAAAAAGGAGACGGTGTTAGTGAAAATGATAAAAAAACTCGGGTAAGACCTGTTTTACTTTTTATTAACACTTGAAACATCTATTTCAAGTGAACCTTATCGTACAATATTTTATCGCGTATTGTGTATGCGTAGCCGTGATGACTTATTTATCAATTCCGAATACTTCTTATCACTATCACGATTTGTCTATAAAATCAATGGCCTAGCCTCCCCTCACAAAATATGTATAGTTATTATTCTGATGTAGTACGCCAATCAAAGCAAATGCGCCACTGTTTATCAAATCTGCTCAGAAAAGGTTTACACAAACTCGAATAACATTATTTTGGAGAAACATCCGCAGTGTACAGCTCGAATTTGCAATGCAATTAATGTAAAATTTATTATAAAACTGTATTATGCATATAGAAATTTTCAATAATTTATCCGTAATATTAAAAAATCCATTCTATATTTTCATATTTTTTTACATTAAACAGAATAGTACATTCAATTATTTATAGTTTTTTAAAATAATATCACATTCATTTTAATATATAATTATACTTGTTGTTAATAACCTTAAAAATTTTATATTTCAAATGATCTTTTAACTTATGATTGAACGTGTAATACAGATTTTTGATATTTAAATGAGTTTCGATTATATGTAGATTAGATCAAGATTACTTAAACATTATATCAAAATTTAAATTTGTTCTTTAAACTCTTTTAGGGATTATGAAGATGTACTTTTCTTATTTAAAATGCATAGAAGTCTCATTGACTCGTCGGAGCTACTCTCCCTATGCTTCAGTTAAGAATCCTGTCAGAAAATTAACATCTAACAATATTGTTCTGCAACTCAGACTGTCAAACGTTATTTGGTCACATAAATCCCTCATTAATCGTTCCAGTTTGCTATTTAATATTTCTACCACAGCCGTCTCTAATACAAGCCATGCTGAGAAATTTGGCAACAGCGCATTGCTTCGATGTGAGAGTCCTATTCTGCGAGTCTTAGTTGTTATTACTACACATGATTTTTAGACACCCATTACGATAAAAATGAATTAAATTATTAAATAACTAACATTTGTTCATCACTGATAGTATGTGACGTTATTTAAAATACACTTCAACATGTAGGTATTAAGAACAAAATAGAAAAGACAAAAGATTAGGTGTAAACATTGTTAGGTACCTAAATGAAATTAATCTCGATAATTGTAATTTTATTAAAGCAAATTTCCACACCACAATTGAAGTATTGCCAAGGCGCGTTAGCTTTTTTTGGGGTTTGCCAATAGCCCTGCCATCCCCTTAGAAAGAACTAATTACAATTTATGATTTACGGATTTTTGCTGTCTTACAGTTAGCTGAATTTGAATTGGAGTGGCGGGACTCTTGCTTTCTATAATTTATAATTTTAACGTAATCATTAAGCAAAACATCAGCAAAAGAAGATAAAATTTGGAAGAATATATCTTTATAATGTTTTCCACAACTACATATTTTTGAAAATATTTAATTTTCCTAAAATTGGTTTTTGGTGTTCAGCCCATAAATATTGTGTCTGCAGATTTTCGTTATTACTTATTTCTTCAAGAATGTCATAAATGTGAAAAGAAAAAACAATACTAATACTATCAGTAGGAACAGAAAGTCCTCCCCTTTGTAAATAATCAAAATAAATATCTCCAACGCAAGAGCCTTTATTGTTTATTATGAGCGAAACACAATTGTTGCAAGTTATCTTTTTACGAACAGAATGAACTGCAAATTTTGAAGGAGTCATCTAAATCACAATTTTAATTTTTAAAAAGTTCAATAAACTGACTTATGTTTAAGGGAGACTTTTCAACAATTTAAATTTCTATTTCATCATTCTCTGATAATTTAGGATATGTTAAAAGCTCACTCAAAACATTACCGGCAGTAGATACTTTTTTTTTACTGTTTTTATAATGCCACTTTCGTTAAAGTGATGTATGTAAACTGCAAAATATTTTCGCATTTCATCATTTTTTTTGGGAATAAAAATATAGACATACCTACTTATACTTACATTTTAAAGATGATTTATAATTTGAATTGCAACTGGGAACACAACGACGAGGCATTTTGTTAAGAAATAAACCAGAAAATTTACAACTAAAACACACAATCTCACGTAAAACATTTTCACTTCTTTCACTTAATAGTTAATATTACTTTCTGCAATTAAAAACTGTATCCAAAGGTATTAATCACTAAAACACACTATAAGCATCCTTATTCCTCATTTATTGCACGATATTTCCGCTAAAATTAAAATATTATAGAAAAACGAAAGAACCACAACAGCCAATGTATTAGTTATAACTCTCATTAACTGGGAAATCCTGGGACTCCCACAGTGTTGCCAAGTAAACCTTCAGCATGGCTTGTAAGTAGAGACGCCTGTGCTTCTACTAATGTCACTCGTCTGTATGGTTTTACATTTGATGATTTTAAAGCTCTAGCAATATCAAAACTTTTTATAGTAATGATAATTCTGTCGATTTATTAATGAAATATTTGCCATTTTATTGCTTGTTGTATTTTTTATGAGAAATTAGTTTTCTTTATTATAAATTGTTTTCATTACCTTTTTGGATTGTAGCGATTATTAGATTTTCTGTGCACCCACAGTACAGCCTACTTTTGTAAATCATGTTGCATATAAGATTTTCAAGCAGTAAAAGAATAAAAAGCAATATTCGATATTCATAATCAAATTCTTCAGAATTACCGACATAGCAAAATAATACAGTTAAACCAACATTAAAATCCTTTTCTTAATTAAAGATTTATTTTCAATTCCTTCATAGAATCTTTTGAAATTTTAGATATTTACATACACCATTAATGTTGAATAATAAATCATTGTATCATCTATATCAAAACCATTATTTATTGTAGCAATGTGAAAATCCGTGAGACGGTGCAAAAATGGACTAAGAATGATTCTCAAATGAACGTACGAGGCAACGTTACGAAAGAAGTCGCATTCATATTAGCCATTTATAAATTAATTAGTCCCATAAGGTTTGGGAGCACCATATTAATTACTCATACTGTAGCAAAGTTGTTAAAGAAAAAATAACAATTATTAAGGAATAATATTATCATTGTATTTATTTTTTTTATTTTTATTAAAAAGAAAAATACACAGCATTACGTTGTGCTGTTTGATTACTGACTACATCCAATATTTTCTTGTTTTTTAACTTCATTAACAGTAAATGACATCCATTAAACTAATATTTATGGTTGCGAGTATATACATACAGCCCTTAATTTGTAAAATTAAAGAATACTTAGTATTTTTAATATTCTATTAAAATAAAATATTGGTCCATTTTTTCTAAAATTGGGATTATACAGTACATAAATGTAAAAAAAAAACTGAATCAGATCGAATACTTTTTTGTCACAAGGTTTTCTTAAGATTTATGGAATATATGGAACGTCAAGTCAATTACAAGTTGTAACTTTACAAGCAAATTTAGTTTGTCTCTTAGTTTAAAAATAAAAAATGCAATTTCTGTTTTACAACCGAAAGAATGCAATTCTAACTGCTACAAGTTATTAAATAGTTCCTTCTTTCTGCGTGCGTACCAATAGGACTTCCCACTTTACAATTTTTTATTTACAATAGCAGTAATAAGAAATAGATTCAATACATTAATGAGCTAAAACAGAATTCGGGAGAACCTTGCCCACCTAAATGATATTTGAATAGTTTTTCAAAGACTTTGCCACATTTCAAATAAATAGAATTCATGACTATGGTGTTAACGTGTTTCCTTTTTATATAAATCTATGTATATCTGTAAGAGATATTTTCGCCTGTTACTTGGAAGTTCCACTGGTTTATCCTTTACCTAATTAATTTTTAAAATTAGGAATTTTATCAAAACCGATATTTTTTAAATATATAGGCTTCAGACCACTTGCTTCAAAATTATGATTATACTTATACTATTAATTGCATTCACATACCTAACGAAAAATAGCTGCATTGTAAGCTTTTCTATCCAATGTACTGGTATGTGGCAGACACAGGATATAGTTGTCTAGGTGTATGTTGCAAATGTTGTATGTGACAACTCCTGCACATAAGGCGTCCTTCTAAAGGATAACATCTTTTATCTGGTTCGTCTGTCAATTGCATACCACATTCTTCACACACGTAACAATCGACATGAAAGTCTTTATCCATAGACACAACTCGAACCGTTTCCTCGGTACCTTCTACTGGAGTTATTCCTGCAACACACGGAATACATTACCTATTTTAATAAATAGGGACTAAAGACAATTATTATTAAATATGTACAAACCCAGACATTTACTAAAACTTTTTTATACAATCTATATTTGTAAAGTTATCAACAGTTTTTATTTGTAACTTTGTGTAAAACTATATGTATTCTATAAACCCATAAATTAACATGTAAAGCCATATATTGTCTATTTGTAGTTACCCAGGAAACTGCAATAAAAGTAACGAAAAAGTTCAACATAATTTCAAATTCATTTTTTTAATTCAGAACTGTTCAACTTCTTATAAAGGAGCCTTACAATAATTACAATTTTTCCTATCAGCATAAGCTCGTCAGTCCTAAGACTGGTTTGCATTTCCCTAAAATTAGAACAACCCACATCCTTAACTATTTGCGAACAGTAATCTAATCTAGGTCTACTTCTACCCCTCCTAAATCCCGTTTCTGCCTCAAATATGTATCTGACTAGACCTTCACGCCTAAGAATGTGTCCTACTAACCTATCTCGCCTATTTCTTATTGATTTCCATACAGTCTTCTGTTCTCCTATTTTTTCTAATACCTCCTCATTTCTAACCTTCTCTATCCACGGTATCCTCATCATTCGCCTGTAACGCCACATTTCGAACAATTCGAATTTTTTGTAGTACCTACGTTGTATAACTGAGAATATATCTAATATACACTATGTCTGATCAATCATCCGGAATATTTGAAAGATAAGATCTGAAGGCACTGTAGAATACATTTCGTGATAGAGCCGCAACGTAGGGGGTAAATACTATGCACAAAAAGTACCCTAGTGAATGAGCTTCCCTAATGAGTTGTCAATGTTGAGAACACTTGTTAGGTTATCGCCCTTCGTTATCACAAACGTCAAGTGTCGAAACACACATACCTACTCGTGACTTTCGAAACAGCTGGTACGCAGACAAGCCAGTTGCACGTATGATGAATAATTAGTAATAACCTGCACTCCTTAACTGCTATTCGATAGGCAAACTTACTGCTATTACCAAAAATTACAAAAATAAACTTAATTTGAAAACGTCAAGCAAAAAACAATACATGGTAGCCACATACGAGACAGTGCAATGAGAATGCAGAGGTGGCATTACACAGGAAGCACCGAAAGGTTGAAGCTTAAAAATTAGTTGCAAAACTGTGAAATCACACAAATAAATTATGAAAGCATACGATTACCGATATATCATTCTCAAAAATTCAGTTTTTGTCCAAAATATCATACATCATCATGCGAATCGCGCTCGGCAGAGCAGCCAAGACCAATATGGCGGTGTCCATGACTCGCATGAGCTAACCGTGTAGCATATATATTCTCATTCCTTCGTGCAAGTGTTCCGCGGTATTTGTGTGTTTTAATGGTGAGATGGATATCTTATTTACTATTGACTTCCCATTATCATTCCCATTTTCCAATCAACGCGATTTTAATTTTAATACCCTGAATAGAATAATTTTCCTAAAATTTACAGTTAAATGTCTACAATCCGAAAAGTTTCACTTGCATTGCGGTTTCATAAAACCACACAATTGTTTTTTTATATTAAATAGAAAAATAGAATCAACCTTATATCAATCCCAGGAAAGAACATTTATTTTCACTCTAAAGCAGTTTGAGACGCGTTAAAGGTGTAGAGTTCGTATAGTCTAGCGTCTAGCTTACATCTTTTTACACAATAGTTACTGAACTTAACTCAATTGACACTTAAAAAAGAAAGAAATGTTACCTTGGCTTAACTAATTTTAGTTAAATAAATAATAAAAGAAAACAAGTAAGTTTCACCACAGTTTTAATTTGCTCGGCAATATTTTTCCCATTAATTTTCTGTTCTACTATAAGATAATGGTCGCACCGGAAGCACATGATCGATTGTAAAAAACGTCTCATACCAGGCTACCTGTCAAACTAGTTATTTTTTGCCAAAAGGCCATCCTTATATGACGAATTTGACAGCGCCTAGAAAGTATAATAAATTCGTTAAAAAAAGTATTTATACCAGGCTGTCAAAATAGGGTAGATATACATTGCTAGACGAAATAGGTATAAAAAATTGAAAATCGGGGTGCGCATTTGAACATGATAATCAACTTGTTCATAAATTTTGTTCAGACAAAAAAATCATACCAGAACCAAGTTTTTTTTAGCGTCATTTAAGTTGCCAAATGACCATTTATTTAGTGACAGCCGATTATATCATGTGGATCGTGTTAAACCAATGAAATTGGGCAGGTACGTGATAAAAAATATTCTTATCCAATTTTTATACACTTTTATTATTGCAATTCCAAAATGTATGCGTTCTGAAATGTCTCATACTAAGCGGTCATTATGCCCAAACGAAACACCGAATATTTTGAGATGATCTTCAATCGCAGCCCGTTACAGCATGTACATTATTATTTATGAACATTAAACTTCATTGCGCATGCCCGAAGGCCACCGAAATTGCGAGTCCTCTCCTCAAGGCCTAATTCCCCTGCCATTCCGCGTCTCGTTTGTTTTTAGGACCATAGAAAGGTACGCTCGATGGTTCATAAGCTGGTCGGAATAAAGAATAACACTTGTACTCATTCCTCAAAACGTTTTAACTATTTGAATTGTTTGTAGTATTTATTATAAGGGCTTCTTTTACACAATTTATTTAATTATCTATATAATTTTTGCAGATTTTATGAAGGAAAATTTATTAATTAACCTTTTTATATGGAATAAACTTAATTTTTATTAACCTATGAAGTGAAAATAATTTTTTGGTTAATTTTTTAGGCCTCACTTCTTAATGTATCTAAACAATCAAGGTAATAACGTAATAAGTATCAATCAATCACACAATAAATGAGGCTTTAGTCACGTGGCAATCAATCCTTTATTTTTAAATTCGTAAGGACCTCTACCAAGAATTAACTTGCTCTTTTACAATATACCATTTAGTATGAATATTTGTTTTCATTTGTCACATCCACCCAAAATAAAATCCTAATAGCACATGGGAGCCTACAAAAACTTTTCGGTAATTGTCGACAAGATGATAACGTCACTCGGAAGGAGGTGGAAGGGAGAAGTCCAAGGACATTATCCCCATTGATAAAAAGTGGGGACGCTAACTGGAATCGGAGTAGGTGGAGGCTAAAAGTGAAAATAGAATATGCGTAGATGATGGGACAGTCGCTCGGACACCGGCTGTGGAGAGTAGAAGGGGAGAAGCTGACATTGGGCATTTATAAGAAAATGGCTGGGTGAGAAAACTCGAAAAAATAAGGATAAATTGGGAATTTTGTGTAGGGTAAGGTGAAGTAAGGAACATAGAAGGTGGGTAGTGGTGAGGGAGAGGGAGATGTGGGTAAGGGTGAGGAAGAGTAGGGTTACCTGACACTTAATTATGCATTTGTATGTTAATAAACGAGACTAAAAAATTTTATTTTCAGCCTCCATCTCGCCTGCTTTCAATTCACCACCCACATTTTTAATCAATTCCGGTTAAGTCCTTAGACCTCTCCTTACCCTCTTCATTTTTATTACCTGCGATAGAGCGACGGTCCCATCATTTAGACAATTACCAAGTTATCAATTTATGCTTTTACTTAATTTAATGAAAAACGATTGGTCACACTCACACCCGCCCTGTACCTCCACGTTATCACCACCAACTTTTACCACGTCCTTTGGGTTGTTCAAGGTCAGCCCTACTACATTCACCCACCACCACACCCATCTGAGCAACCGTCAACCGAGATGTTTACTATTTTCATTTTTAGCCTGCACCGCCTCCACTTCACGGTCCCCACTTTTTATCAATCGGAATTAATTCCTTAGACTTTCCCCTTCCCCCTCCTCTCCTCACCCCAAAATCCGAGCGGCAGTCCCATCATGTAGAAAATTACCCAGTTTTTGCTAGTACTATAGGTACAGAAGTCACTGTACCAGCTTAAATTGGCTGTCAATGGAAAACTCAATAAATTATACGAATATCGTTGTAAACAAATTGCAGACTGGTATGAATATTTTGGAAAAATGTAATTTTTCAGGTAACTTCTTGTCGGCTGTCTGCGGCTCTTACAAGTTTTACCGGCTGTTTAATTGACTTTACAGTGTCGTTTTCATTTATAAGTCTGGAAATTAATTGACAGCCTGGTATTTGTTTTTTTTTTTAATAAAAATGGAGAATATTTAATAGATGAACTAATTATGATGTACAAGTGTAACCTGGCGGACAATTTGTTTTATTTCTATTTTGGCTGGCAAATTATACCCTGATTTTAGCAGCCTGTTATGAATATATTTCACGAGACTTGTTTTTACATTTTGAGATGACCGTAAGAATACGATGTACAAGTTGAAATCAGCTACCGATCGTTTTTCCATGGATTTATTTGATAAATTTTCATTTGCTGTAATAGCACCCTAGTATGAATATTTTTTATAACGAATTTCATACTCGTCGTACACGGATGTTTTTTTTATTTAAATTATTGCGCTTAAATAACGCAAAAAAATAATTAGTTTAATAGACAGGCTGATATGAGACTTTTTATGCATGCCGTGTGCTCCCGGTTTATGATCGAACCAATGCTGTCAGAACAATTAAAAATTCAGTGAAACTTGTTTTCTTTATTTGCCTAATTATTACGTTTTACACAAAGTGCACGGTTTAAAGTTTAAGTTATATTAATTAATTTTACCTTTACCACATGAAGCACATTTAGGAGCGAACATTCTGTGATAATCATTTACACAGTAGATCTTATTGTCCACATCAACAGTGAAAGGTACACCATCCAAGCATTCGTTACAAACGCAACAACGGAAACAACCTGGATGATATGATTTGCCCATTGCTTGAAGGATCTACAAGTGTAACAAAAAGATTAATTCTTCATATGAGCTGCAATTTCCAAAGCTAAAATATTATTACTATATAACTATTCGAGATATCAAATTTGACACTGTATGAATCATTTTGGATATCAATTATAGGTTTTTTCCTCTACAGGGTATAACAGAAGTAAGAGTAAGAGCTTGAAGGTGGTGATAGGACACTATAAAACAGAAAATTAAGTAAATGTTTGCATGTTCGAAAGTTCACAACTTTCGAGAAAAACGTTGTTGAAAGTACAGATAAATTCAATTTCGGCTCTGATAAAGAAATACGATCCGCCACGCCGCACTCAATCAGTTGGTAATTAGCAGCATCAGTGTAGTATTTGTTTTGTATTCTTTTACCCTGTACAAATTTGACAATATTGAATTTTATTTTTTACTTTAACAACTTTTATTCTTATTGCTCCTGCTAACCTTTTTTTTTTATAAAAAGTAAATATCTCGACCACTATTAGACCAAGACGTAAGGTAGCTTTATAAAAAATACTTCTAAAATAATGCGTACAATCCAAAAATGTCAAATATTGAAGGTGTTCTAAAGGATAGATAATGATTGAAAGATATGAAATACAGTGGATTTCATTTATTACGACCTTGGTTATAGCGACCATTTTGCTATAGCGACGTTAAATCCCTTGAATTTCAAGCATATTTTAGTACTAAATTCATGTGGCTATAGCGACTTCGGATATAACGCCGAGTTCGAGTATAACGACTATTTTTAATTAATCATTTGAAACAAATCCCTAGTAACCCCATGTAAATATGGCGACGGGAGGCAATCGGCAAAGACACAAAGAGCTTTCCTATCTTTTGTTTATGTCCATACCGATAATCAGCAAGTGTGGTGACCTTTACCGTTTGTTAATAGATGTTAGCCAGGTAGGTAGGTAAGCGTGTACGTTAAAATGGTTCAGTTACACAGTGATATTCTGAGTAGCAACTGTGTTTAGGTAACTGTTGAATATGTATGACTCCTAGAAGCACATCTACTGTTTAAAAAAGGCGCAAATCGTTTCAAAATTGAAAAATGGTGAAACTGTATAGACGTGTCTGTATCTCTTCATCTTTGCCTGTAACGACTTCCGAATATAACGATGAAATTACAGTAGTCCCTTCGTCGTCGTTATATCCGAAATCCACTGTAATATGTTGTGAGACGTGGGTGGAAGAGAATGATATATAAAAAGATTGGATTGTAAGTATAATTGGACAATATATAATGCGGTAGCAGTAAGTAAGAGGGGAAAAGCGAAAGGGGGGGGGCGTATTAATACAATGTGAAAGTGGAAGAAAGGCTTAAAATTAAACAGAGAAAAGAAAAAAAAAGAAGGAAGTATTTGAAGTGAAAGGGTGACAAGAGGAAATGTAATAGATAATGCAGAAAGTGAAATGATATACACCAAATCCCAGAGGTTTTTGAGCGACTCAGAAATAATTTTGGTAAAAGTTTCGAAGTAGGGGTTCGAATTTCGAACAATTTTTGTGTGTAGATATGTTTAGTGTTGTTGTTCCCGAAACCAATAACTCCTCGATAAGTAAACGGCAAAAATCATTATATTATTGTATCTAGTTTACCTCCAAAGCTCCGCACTTAGTTCTGTTACACCCTGCATATTAGTAAATAAAATAAATTACCATTTCCATTATTAAATGACCACAAATAGCACACTTTTCGGCAGTCTGTTGAAATCCCGAATACTGAAAATATATTGAACAGTATTATTCATGTAAAAGAATAAGCATTCTATCATTTATACAACTACCAAATAGTCCTCTTCACAATACACTCTACCATGAACATTATAAAATGCTTTTCCTCTTAATGCTCTTCCACATGAACAACAAATAAAACAATTAGTATGATACAAATTTCCCATTGCCTGGCAAGCCTGTCCAGCTCCAGTAACTTTCTCTCCACAGGTGTGACACACCCCTTAAAAAAAAAAAAAACAGATACTACGGACAGCCGCTAAAAAGTATTATGAATAATGCATCAGTTCGTTTTAGTTTTTTCAAAATACCAACTTATCAGGAGAAATACACTTAAGTATTTTTATTGCAGGAATTAAAGCCAGAAAAGGAAAATAATAATTTAATATCCCAACCAGTATCTACATACTTTTCACCTTTAATGTATAAGGCTTCCTCAGGGTAAACTGTTAATTATTTATACATTGAAGAGACAATGAAAGTGTTGGTTGTAATACCCCTATTCTGGCTTTGATTTCTACAATAGTATCTTAAAAAAGGAGAAGAAATATAAACTAAATCTTAACAGTTCTCTTTACCACTTGACTCTTAATATGATCAAATGTAATCTGTTGTTAATGTAAATTGTAGGTTTTNACTAACCCGTAATTGAACCAGTGTCTTCACGAATGCTAAGTAAAGGTTCTATCATATATTGACGAGACGAGCCTCGAACATGTGCGAGACGAGCACGAGATACGTACGCGTTCCATTTTGTAGTAATAGTACAAATTTGAGTATAAGTGGCCTCATATCGAGCTCTGTCACTGACAATCGGTCGACGAGTTTTGTTTAATTTTTCAAGTGTTGGTTGTAATACCCCTATTCTGGCTTTGATTTCTACAATAGTATCTTAAAAAAGGAGAAGAAATATAAACTAAATCTTAACAGTTCTCTTTACCACTTGACTCTTAATATGATCAAATGTAATCTGTTGTTAATGTAAATTGTAGGTTTTTAATTACTTAAATTTCATATTATGAAACCGATGACAAAATATAAACATTTTAGAAGTTCGTCACGGCAGTAAGAAATTACCCAACAAAAATCAGAACTGCCAGCTTAATTTCTTTTTATTCCCTAGTCTTTTTACAGAAATTTCGTTACATTTCCATGAAAATTCTTAAGGCGAAAACAGGATATTTAATAAAAAAAATTCATGTAGTGCAAGTAACCTTTAGAATTAATTTGGCACAAAAAGTAATTTTATTATAAATTAAATAAAAATCCTCTTTTTCCCTAAGTTGACTCTAAATTCCCTAGGTCCAGGGTCATTTTAAAAAGCTACTACAGCTATTCTTAGAAGCAGCCTACAGTTCCAAAATTGCCATTTCGAAATAACGGTTACGCAATACTAAATCTATAATTAATATTGTCGAATAGCGTAAGAAACTTCAGCTTGCTTCAATATTTTAAAGCGTTTAAGACCCAAAAAACCAATGGCATTAATTTATCTGAATAATTACCAAAATATTCCCCTTCTTCCTCATGTTTCTCCATTTCTTCTTCAATTTGTCGGGTCATTTCTTCAATTTTTTTTTCAGCTTCAGTCGGTCCACGAGGTCTAGGTGGAGTAACATTATACGGCAACAAGTTTTTTCCACTTATTTTTAATTTACTAGAATTTGATGTGTTGCTAATCGAACTTGGGGTAGGGCTAGGAGGTGCTGAAGACCTGGATTCAATCTTTTCTAGAGTTTTTTTTACCTAACAGCCAAATTAAAAAAATTAAATATGGGGACGTTCATAAAATACATTAGCAAATAAGGGAGAGGGCGGATTATTGCTTAGCGTAACGATGTATTACAAGATGGAAGGGGGGGGGTTAAGAAA